GCAACACACGCTTGTACTGTAGTCATTCATTATATACCTGGTAAAAAAAAAAAAGACAATCACGAATATCCTTCAACGCCAAAATCTGCAGAAATTCCGGTTTTGCATACGAATACGAACACACGTACTGTAACCAAACAAACACGTACGGTACATAAAACACCGAGGTACGTATATACACAAACACTCACGCACGTACAGACACACACACAGAGGACACCCACTACTGGTTAACCTTGAGTCACACACATTTAGCTCACCCCAGAGACCAAGCTAACACAGCCTAGAGCCATGCAACACCGTGAGTGATACCAGACACACTAAAGTGATCCCTGGGAGCTATAGAGGTAAGGCTCAGTTTCCTCCCCAACACCTCCACCATCTAGACGCCTCAGACCTCAGCCTCCCACCACCACCTGTTTCCTGGGAAGCTAAAGTCGACCACGTTCTCTAACTTAGTAAACAAACAACACATGTCTGCCCATCTCCCCATGTCTGCCCATCTCCCCATGTCTGCCCATCTCCCCATGCCCTGCCCATCTCCCCATGCCCTGCTCATCTCCCCATGTCCTGCTCCGGTATAATGATGTATTAATCACACCTACAGTGAAATCTACACACCCACTTTCACTACCCGACCATATAAATTCCGTAAATAATCAATAAACAGCTCCTGTTACTCACTCCCAAGCTCAGCACATCTCTTGAAAGTAAGGCCAAGCAAGTATCACTGTGCTGACGATAACTGTTGTGTTAAGCTGGTGGTTACGTCTCTGTGTAAACATTTAAACAAGACAACAGGATAAACACAGATTAGATCAGCAGACGTATACAGAGATCAAAATATATATATAGTAGCGTCACTAATCCACCCCTAAACCTAACCTAACCTAACCCATGACTGCCCCTAGCCTAACCCACCCCCAGAAGAGGATAACGATCTAGACACAAACCTGAAGCCTTCGTCCACAGTATATGTAAAGGAAATAAAAATCTAAAAGCTAACTACACTGACAACTCCGACGATGATGACGTGGTTCTCAGGTGCTATACAGGTAAGCCACCTAGACTGCATCGTAAACACGTCAACGCTAAGCACGTGGCGTATACCTACCTGGAGCACGCACGTGTGTTGGTGTGTGTGTGTGTGTGTACGCAGGTGTGTCTAGAAGAAGCTTAGGTTAACACGCCATAAACATAGTGTAAAAGGGCAACTTAAACCTAAAAATAAACCTAAAAATAAACCTTATATAATCACCACAGTATTAACACCCTTAAGCAGTAATGAAGGTTTTAATTAGTATATATTTTGTATTCATTAGTAGTTACGGAGGGAACATTTAATTACCTCAATTAAATAAGCTCTCTATATAGGAAACTCATACATTACAAAGATTTAACCCAGGGACGAGCGAACACCTTAAACCAGGTCACAAGTTTCTTAAGACTTACTGACTGACATACTACGGTAGAGAGTGGTGGAGTGGGGTAGAGCGGAGTGGGGTGGAGTGGAGTGGGGTGGAGTGGAGTGGGGTGTTATCTACGGTACATAGTGGCATCGCTTTGTTGTGTTTACTTTGGTCACGCAACACACAGCTAGGGGAGAGAGTGGTGGTCAGTACGGCTCGATTTGGAGGGGGGGTAGGGGAGGAGGGGGCCAAGTTGTAAAAAAAAAATAGTGTTTGTGTGTCTTTAATTCCTGTATGTTTGAAGTAATTATTAAAATTATTATTACATTATTATTATTATTATTATTATTATTATTATTATTATTATTATTATTACCATTGTTATCCTTATCATAATTAATATCAATTACACCTGGGGAGGACGTGTGTGGTATAATATCAGGTAACATAACTTCAATGACACCTTTCACTTTCTGTAGTAGGTGTTGAAGGTGAGAACTGTGAACCCAAGTCCCAACCACTCCTTCGTACTCAACACGACAAACATTCGGTACCTGACAAACTATCTGTTTATGATAATTAAAGTTATAATCTTAATTTGGATCTTAATGTAATCTTGTTTACTCTTCAGACTCGTGAGGTAAATAATAATGCAGCTAGATAATTAAGACAACAATAACAGTAGGGCCACACACACACACACACACACACACACACACACACACACACACACACACACACACACACACACCAGCCAGACCCAGATGTCCTTGGTGTGATGTTCGACTCTTGATTCAAAGCCAAGTAACAGAGGTCCTGCCATTTCGTTTTTCTTCTCCTTTTTTCCGCCGTAACCAAATTAACCTAACCTTGTCCACTGAACACTAATATGACATAACCAAACTTGTGTATCTATTAAGAGAGAATTATTAATACACCAAATTACCAACGGCATTGAAAACACACACACACACATACTACACACACACACACACACATACTACACACACACACACACACACACACACATGTAGTGAGAATAACATGAAGCCAACCATCAGGTGAGCAAGAATCAGTCACCAACACACCTGATATAAACTGTTCACTAATTAAGCAAAGATCAAACCTTAAAGCAAAGAACAGGTAATTTATCCTGGAAGAAGACAAAGGATGAAGGAGGGAGAGAAGGAGGGAAAAGGAAGAGGAGGGAGGAAGAGGAGTGAGAAGAAAGAGGAAGAAGAAGAGGGAGGAAGAGGAGGGAAGAGGAGGGAGGAGGAAAGAATACTCGTCCTCATTACCAGTAGAGAGAAAGCATAAATTTTCCTTCCACATTCAACTCAACCATTATGAGTCAAGGTAACTGCAGCCCATCCATAAAACACACACACACACACACACTGACAAGCTTAACACTATACCTCCCATACTCACTATATAATGATAGTTACAAAACAGATGACACAGCCGCCACTTGACAAAGAACTGACATACATGACAACACCACCACTATCACCACCACTACAACCAGCACCACTATCATAACTACCATCACCACTACCATCATCACTGCCAATCGCACCACCATAGCAGCATTATGTCACATCAATCCCCCGTCATTTGCCACTCATCTCCAAAACTTTTATTTTAATCCTTATCTTAAATTCATCATCTTTTTTTCATTAATAATAGATAAAGTAATATTAATTCTAGCTCCAGTTGTTGTTGTTTTAGGTGCTTCGTGGCCGGGATTATGAAGCATGGTTCACTAAGTTACTGAAGCTATTTCGTTATGTATATGTCTTTAATATACAGTATGTGCTTCAAATGCTGGGTTTATGAAGCTTCGAAAACCCCAATGAAGCTACGAACCCTAATAAAGTTTCGAACCCCGCTGAAAATTCGAACCCTAATGATGCTTCAAACCCCAAGCCTTAGTTTCAATAATATAACAACAGGAGGAGGGGGAAGACAAGTGGAAAACAAGATATAATATAATAATCCTTAGTGACTGTTTCATTCAAGCGGCGGGTGACCTCGGCCTTCCCTGGAGTGACACTTGAGCATTACCAGTGATAAGTGGAGCTGTCTCACTGTCACTCTAGCTGTGTCGGGGTCCTGAATGATCGCTTCAACCACACACACACACACAGAAACCACTTACTGTTGCCGGTCAGGTGAATTCTGGTTATGAAGCAGAGGAGGAAAGGGTGATAGAAGGGTAGGAGGGAAAAGAGTAGAAGAGGAAAGAAGAAGCAGGGAGGAGAAGCAGGAAAAAGGGGAGGAGGAAAGAAAGGGAGGAAGAAGAGGGGAAGAAAGAGGTGGTAAAGGAGGACTGAGAGGTGAAAGGAGCAGAAATTAAGAGGGAAGGGGGAGGAAGAGTAGAGAGGGAGGAGAAAGAGGAGGAAGAGAGGTAGGAGGAAGAGTTGGGAAATAAGCAGAATAAGAAAACTTCATTCGTCCGCCGCCACCACCACCAGCGAGTGTTGTACCGCAGTCACAACAAGTCAAGATAAGATTCAAGGCCCAGGGCGTCACCACTAACCCTCCCACCCACACCTTCTGCCCTCACCACCCACCCACACCACCCACCACTTCCGTCAACTGAACCCTTCCGCCCACACCACCCACCCGCCACTTCTGTCCACTAAACCCTTCCACCCACATCACCCACCCGCCCACACCAGCCCAGTCCACTGAACCCTCTTTCTCTCACCCCAATGCTTGATTACCACCCAAGAACTTTGACACACTTTTGGGGGAGGGGGAAGGGGGAGGGGGAGGGAGGGTGGGGTGAAAACCACGACTCAGACTAGAATAACAAACTAACCCTTATTGCTGCAACATGGTAATACAGTGTTTCCTCGGCCACATCAAGCCCTCCCTCCTCCTTCCCACAAACAAGCCCCCCTCCCTCTCCACAAACAAGCCCCCCTCCCTACAAACATAAGACAACAACCCCACTCATGACACATTTGCTGCTATACACACACACTAAGGGGACGTCCACCTCTCTCGCCCTTACACACACCTGTATGACTCACACACCTGTCCCTTACCAACACACACCTTGAGGGACTTTCAAACACCTTTTACCTGCAACATGAAACACCTAAGACACCTCTCCCACACACACACAGACCTCGTTAACACACATCTCTCCAACACACTTCATGCACAGTACACACACCTTATTTCATACACATCTCAGTTTATTAATACTCCAATACTGACCAAGGTAAAAGGGACATATAACGATACTATCAACTAAACTCTTTTGAAAGCAATAAATATCTCTTCAATCAACAAAATCCCACAAACTAACAAAAGGTTAATACCAAAAATCCCAGAATTATATAACAATAACAAGAGAAATAAAAGTAGACATCAAAATCAATTCTGGTTAAAATAACACCTCCCCCCCCCAAAAAAAAAATCCCCCCAAAAAACTGAAAAATAAACATTTTTAAGGATATCTGATGTGAGTTATATACTGGTTATCTCACTCCACAAGATATCCCGGAGGAGGAAAAATGTTATCTGGTTCTGTAATCAAACGAAAGATATCAACGTGTCATTAAATCCTTCACTTACCTTTAGGATTTTTATCTCTTTACTGAGGAGGTTCTGACTTTTGGCGATGTTCTTCTTGGTGATACTTTTGATGGCTACAGTAAGCGCTGGGCTCTGTAGGAGGAGATGATGAGAGAAAGGTCATTAAAAATTACAGCACAAGATACCAAATATATCAGTACAGTACATAGTCTAAAGGCAGACTAGAGAAACAATATGTCATTACACCAGACAATCCTAATACAGATATAGGTAAACAAGAATAGCAAACAGACCAAATATAGACAAGATGAACAGGAGAACAGCAAACAATCCAAACTCGAACTAGGTAAACAGTATATAACAACAGGAACAGAGCAAACAGCCCCAATATAGACAATATGTATATTTGTCTCTCTATAAAAATCTTTCTCCGCCTATTTTGTCTAGGATGGACCACGGATAGTCTATACAACCCTGAAAGATGGGGGGAAAATGAGTCGTACAAAACAAGTATAGGACATGAAAGAGTCGTACAAAGTAGGTATAAAACATAATAACGTTACAAAACATGTATAGAACATGAATGAGTTATACAAAACCAGTATAAAACATGAAAGAGTCGTACAAAACAAGTATAAAACAAGTACATCCACGTCTACATAGCGTCTGGAGTTGGGGGAGGGGGGGGGGAGGAGGGTCAAAGAATGTGTTGTGTACAGTAGATGAGTGCCAAGTAGGTCAACTGGGGTGCCACTATCAAAGTAAGGAGTGCAAAGGGTTACCTGTGGAGATTCTACCTCCAATTTATTTACCTTAACAATCATGACATTTTACTCGTGAAAGAGACACATATTGCCTTAGTTCTTACGCTATTACTCGTGAAAGATACATAAATACATACTTCCCTTACTCGTGAAAGATACATGTATACATACTTCCCTTACTCAGTGAAAGATACATAAATACATACTTCCCTGACTCAGTGAAAGATACATGTATACATACTTCCCTTACTCAGTGAAAGATACATGTATACTTCCTCACTCGTGTAAGATATAAAACACATACCACTGAAAAACAAATAAAACTAAAACAGACGTCAAAAGTTACATTAAGGTAAACTTTAACAATCAACAAGTAAACTCATAAACCACCAATGAAAACTATACTTAGATCAACAAGAAACGTGACACTAAAAGCAGCATGACCAGTCTTAAGGTGGCTCTCCTGCCTCCCCTCCCTTCCCCACCCCAAGGTCAACAACCTCACAGGCATAAACAACCACCTTGCCCTCTCAAACACACAAAAAGGCCAAATCGTGAGAAAATACGCCAAAATATGAGAAAATTACGCCCAAACATGTAAAAGCTAGTCTAAATATACGAAAGTTAGCCAAAACTTACGAAAACTAGACCAAAAAATGGAAAACAAGTGAAAATACAGCCACAATCCGTAAAACGACACGGAAATCCACAATAAAATGAAAAATCACGAAAACGGATGAAAACGCAAGACAAATCCTGTTCCATCACTCTAGCCAAAACAAGATATTCTAGTGAGGAAGGCACACAAGCGTCTTTCCCAGTGAGTAAGAAGAAAACTGCGTTGTCTCTTCTTTATACGCATTGCCTTGTATATCTTCCAACTACGTAGTAAAGTTGAACCCAATGCGGAGATGTGTTATTACCTAGGTGTAAAAATTTCCCACCTGTGAGAGATATTAATTAACTTGTGATCTTTCCTATTCTTCTTCACCTGTTAATTGCTTGGATTGGGTAAAAAATTATTTCCGGTTTGACTTTTGTTATTAAACGACCCTAAATAAATAAATAAATAAATAAACGTAATGACAAGTAAAAAAAAATATATATATATACTAGATCTCTTTATGAGCAATGTATTAATTCATTAAAATAAACTGTAAATACAACTCTCTTTTACACCGATTTACAACACACGACACACTTAAGCTCATTTACCACAAGAGGACAAAATTGACGTACATAATCTTTATAAATCCTAATCCTTACCCACAACACACACAAGAGAAACAACATCCCGTGAATAACACACCAGACATCACCGGTCTCCAAGATAACACGCTCACGACCACCTCCTCTACGTCTACACTACTTAAGATTATTACCCTAATGAAGAGTATAATTAATTCCTATATCCTTTATTAGCCTTCTGTGTTTATTAAGCCATTTATATGTTTGTTTGTAAATTTTCCACAGCAAAGGCCAGAGAAATCACTCTTAGTAACACCCACCAACTGCAACTTCATAACAAACAAATATAAGTCAAGTAAAATAAACATTACAATGGCCAGCGAGAGATGACATTTCTCATACCATGAAAAATGTTTAAGGATAAGAATGCATAGGTTGGGAGGTGGCCAAGTGTGACGGTGGGCGACGCAATGCTCAGGTCCTCACTCGAATTCTGGGTTGACTAAGCATGCAGACTAGACACTTCCCAGGCAGGCAGGCAGGCAGACAACCCAGCACCACGCAGCCACTGTCTGCACCTTGCGATCAAGTGGAGATACTCATGCCCAGACATATCTCACGTGTGGCGCCAACCAAAAACACACAATATCAACACAAACCTCAACACCTGATACACAACTACTACCCAAAATACTGCCTGAGGAAGATTGTTCTGAATGCAGGTGGAGAGGAGGAGGATGAACCCTGGACTCGTGCCTGGCAAGTGAGAGTTTTCCCGAGGCGTGTGGCTATCTGTCCCGCGTGTGTTGGTGCGTCTCTCACACACCATTGTTTACATCTCTACGGTTACCCACCCAGCCCCTCACCCGCCCCTCCACTTTACAAATTTATTTATAAACGTGGGCAAAAAACTCGCAGGGCGGCTTTTCATGAAGGGCATTTGTCTTTGTCATCGTCGACAATTCACACACACACACACACACACACACACACACACACACACACACACACACACACTACTACTACTACTACTACAACTTTGCTGTCACTCGGAATCGCGTATGACGATCATCCAGTTATGAGACAATGATATGAATTATTAAGGATGTCACCTACGTTATTGAGCTCTGAAGTGACTAAACAGGCCGATCACAGATGTTGCACCTGTGGGGGGCTACATCTATTGCTGGAGGGGCGGCGGCAGCGTCTTTCCGGCGTTGGCGCGCGCGCGCACACGTTATTAATAGCCAAACCTTTCCTATGTGTAACATAGATCCGAGGTGTGCGTAAGTTACTACCAGGTAAAATAGCGATGGGTGACGTAGAGTGAGTTATACTAGTGCGTGTGTTGTTGTGGGCTCGACCACTGCGCAATGACCTACAAGGCCACTTCCACCTACCTCCCACACCAACACACCCTTAATAAGACCAAAAAAATAATTTTAAATAGGTAACAAAGGCAACAAAGCAGAAGACTTCTCTTTACTTATAATAACCTATAAACTATATTGACTAACTGAACAAAATCGAAACTGGACGGACGGACGGACACTGGCAGACTGGCGAACATAAACAAAGGAAGTAGCTACTAAATTTTACCCTTGCCATGACTCGAATACACTGGAGACCTACAGACTGGTGACGAACGCGAGCCTTACATCCCAGCACCACAACACCACCGGGACTTAAACACAAAGTTAAATATTAACACCTTCAAGGGCGCCGCCTCCTGCCAACCTTAAGATGACACCTTTACACTAAGCAAATTTGCAGAGTCATTGTTTATTATCAAAACTACGGAATGATTTTTATTTCAGATGTATCTTGCGTTTTATGATGTTCTCTCAATACAGTTTTATTATAATGGGATTAACTACATCACTGCGGAAGTGAATCTTGGACGCTGAAGAATCTAAAGAAGCATTACAGTTCGTGACCTCCATAATGGTATTTGTTCTTGGCACTCTACACATAAACACCCCAGAGCCTCGTGGTACACACACACACACACACACACACACACACACACGTTATAATTCGGTCGGCGACCTTCATATCAATGCCTAATCCTGGTACCCTAAGGAGGTTTATCATGCTAAATTCCCCCAGCTACCGTGACTGTTCGTGTACAGTCAACACAAGAAAAAACAGACAGGCGTTAATCAGAGTCGACGGTTCCTGCGGAGGTTAAATACGAGGAGATAAAAACCGAAAAAATTCTAGTCGGCTCTGAAATTTTATCGAATATTTCGTTAACACGTTTTTATCTTTCTATGAAGTAATTTTAATGCTGAGAGAGAGAGAGAGGTACTCTATATTTTCTCTCAATCCGTTACCAAAAAATATAAGTCTGTTTTTACCCCGATGCCTACAAACATTATCATCCACCCAAACAACACCAACAGAACACAACACGTTAACAGAAGGCCACAGACGAAAGAGCACACGCCCCCCCCCATCCCCCCTTCTTCACTACCACCTATCCAGCACCCCCTCCTTCCTCCACCTACCTATCCACCCCTCCTTCCTCTCCCTCCCCCACTTATCCATCCATCCTTCCTTCCCAATCACCACCCCTTTTACCCCCCTCTTCCCTCCCCCAACACCACCCCTTCTACCCCTCCCCTTCCCCCATCGTGAGGGTTGAGGGGGGGGTAGCCTTGAGTGGGAGGTCTGTGGCTGGAGCTGCCTATTACTACTAACACGATAAGTCCATTTTCCACCTCCTCGCCTCTCTCCTCCCCTCATTCATGGGTCGTAATCTGCTGCCTCCATTCCCCCTCCTCCCTCATCCATGGGTCATATACTTCCTCCATTCCCTCACCTCCCTCATTCATGGGTCATATACTTCCTCCATTCCCTCACCTCCCTCATTCATGGGTCATAATCTACTTCCTCCATTTCCCCGCCTCCCTCATTCATGGGTCATGGGCTGTACTGAATTCTATACCATCAAGACAGCAAGAGTGTTTCCCTCCATACAGCTACAATCAAAACAAATACTGAATAATATTAAAGCCTCACATTTCAATTACAGATACAATACGTCGAACAAAAGAATGAGAATCAAAACAATGAGAAATAATCCAAAACAACAAGACAGATAAGCGGAGTAAGAGCCAAAAACAACAAGAGTCAAGAATCAAAACAAAAGAATGACTAAACCAAAACAAACGACTT